GATATAAATTATATGAATAATTCAGGTATGCATATTCTTTATGACTGCAGTAAATCTAAAAGACCAGCCTCAAATTACAAGTCCACTGACTTCACGTTAGAAGAAAAAAAAACTTAAAAGGATTTACTCCTATTCAAGAATTTTGCTACACATGCCCCTTTAATACTTTCAATTATGAAGACTTCTTATTAAAACTCTACTCTTCCCATTAATAATTACTTAGGGAACATCATGATTCAGGCTACATTTAACCAGACAGATCTGTTTTTGTAATGCCTCTCTTCCTCATACTCAAGTGTTTAGAATAATGCAATTAAGAAATAAACAGTATCTGTTCAGAAAAGAAATACATACTGGTTTAAAGCAATTATTGAAAGAAGGAATTAGACCCTTGTTCCTAACACTAACAAATGTTCCTATTCTGTCTGAGACCACATTTCATGTCATTTCACTATATTTTCTCTGTCTTGGTTGTCTGCAATCACTCTCCCCACATCCCCCCAAATATTGCTATTTTAGGAAAGAGAAGTCAAAATCCTTTTATACTCCCCTATCAAGCATTCCTCAGGAAAGAGAGTCATTCTGGTTTCTTTACCATCTGATTGGTGGGGCTGCTCTTTGTTACTGGAGGACACTAGAGAGCATGACTGCTGCCCATCTCTTTTGGCGTGGAGAAAGACTCAACTCCATTCCAAATTAGCAAGTACCAGATCCATAAATCCAGTATCATGTTTTACTAGTTTCAAATTAGTGTTATCGAATAGACTGGTATTACACTTGTTCTCATGAATTAGAAAACATACCAGTACTATAAAAAATGACTTCTCATAAAGGTGATTTAGCTCAAGATACCTTCCTTCCTTCAAGATACAAGGAAAAAATAAGGGTAACTAAGTTACTTGCAGTGTGTCTTATTCTCACACATACAAGCCCATATGTTTTCTAAAAAGTTAACCAATGTTCAGCCTGTGTAAGTTAATTCACACAAAATTTAAACAATGTATGTGTCAACTATGAATAAAAAAGGCCATATTCCTACTCATACAACATTGTTTTGGGAATTGCAGGCACTTTTGGATCATCAGCCTTTCTGGAAATCTATAATTTCCTTTACTCAGAGCCATGATGATGGCTGAAGTCATCAACTTTATACTTTAGTCATCAACATGGCTCTCTTGATGAATGCATCAACATCAGTTTTTATAGTAAATAATGTCACTCATACACAGGATTTTACACTTTGATTACAAAATCCTTGGTAAGAGTACTTAGATACTTAAATAGGCAGAAGATAGTATCTATATCTAGTGTGTGATTTAAACATCAACTGTAAAGCTGGAAAGGCAAAATTACCTCCACAATTCAATATAAAGAAACATGCTCCCAACAAATACAGATTTAAGGGGCTTTCAATTTTAAAGACTAAATGCAGTAAGACTTTCAGAACTCTAAGAAGTATGGATAAATTTTAAAACAGAGTGACAATTCTGCCTCCTGATATACATTTACATAATCCTCTCACTTAACCATCAAGTAAAAAAAAAAAAAACTCCACTACAAAAATATATAGATGGTATGTGTACATACTCATCATATATGAGACATAGATATCTCAGGTATAATTATACAAACAAAATTTGTATTTATAGTACATATCAGGACATACCACTAACCATTCACAATTATAATACTTTATCAGTAGTCATTAGCTAACTACACAAATAAAACCATTAACAAGATATAGAGATATTTGTACTAAGGGATCCTTACAATCAGGTTTTCAACAGTCTTGGTTGCAGTTGACAGTTCACAATTGCAGCCATTCATTAGCGTTCCTGGAATGTGGCCTACAGAGTTCACACTGGTCAGCTATCTATGGAAAAACGATCTGTACTATGCATTCACTTTCAAAAAGGGCCAATATTTCGCACCTCCCCCATTTACCAAAAAGGAGATTGTTAAGTGGGTAGGTAATTTAAACAAATTTTGTTCACTGCAAAAGTGACTACAGATTTCTTTATGAACTATATTTTAAACCATCATTTTAATCTCCAGTTTACACCAAATCAACTTGATCTCAACAATTGACCATAAGTCTTTCTAAACAGAAAAGCTAAAATGATATATTAACTTTATGGTAATTAACAATATATGGTCACTGGGCAATTTTAACTAGGAACTTTAAGACTTTCCTTACTTCGTATATACAACCATCAGTCCTTTTAAAGGTATAATATTAAGATGTATTTAATATAAGGTCTTTTCAGATTCTTTAAAAGAAATGGTCTCAAAATGAGCCAATATAGAGCCTTGTATTAGGTAATGGAACCAAATCACAAGATGAGAGTTTTCAATATATCAACCTAAATCATCTCAATCATTTTGTGTTAATTGTCTATTTTCCTTCTTTTCTAAATGTGTTTTAAAAAAGCAAACATCCTGTTAACATTTTCTTAGGATTTGAAATTTGTCAGCTTCTTCATAAAGTTTAAGTCATAATTACGCAAGACCTCTCACTCCAATGTTTTATTTTACATTTGAATGACTGCAAGTAAAATTGTATGCAGTTTTTAATTTAATAGGGCAACCCCAAATCACCATGTTAAAATTATGATTTTGTTAGTACTGTCTCCTCAAAAGTACTCAATTAGTAATTTAAACATTAGCCTGGAAAAACTGTTATTTAATTTCAAGGATACAACTTTAAAATGCCCTTTTACAAAGGATTTCCATTAAAAAAGCCAAAAAACTATTTCTACTTAATGGATTTATTCCTTCACCAGGTGTATTGGTCCAGTGACAAAATAGTCAAATGTGTAAGATTACATCTTGGAAACTAGCATGCTTAAGTTAAAAAACAATGGAAGACTGTAACAAAAATTAGAAATCAATTAGAAATTTGATAAGCAATGCAGATTTTAAAAGACTGGGTGGGGGAGGGAAGTGCCACATTTAAAACAGGACTGCATTTACATCAAAACCCCTGCACTGGATTAAGTGTTGCAACTGATACAAACACTGATATAGTAGGATCTGTAGTTCAAACATTCACGTTTAGAAATGAGATTCTTGATATCAACTTTTTTTTTTAATAAAGAGAGGAGAAATAAATGCATATTTGAGGTCATGCCCTAAAGAATACATCCCAGAATTTCCATTTGTCAACAGATCTCTGCTTCATGCCGTATCATCAAATTAAAGTTATGGGGAATGTAATTACATATGCTGTAAACTGAGAGAGGTGTGGAGGATAGAAAATACATTCTTCATTCATAGGTATGCATGTGTTTTGGGAGGGGGTTGGGTTGGAAAACCAGTCATTTCTTAAGAGATATGGGGGCACTGTACAACAGGAACAGAGTTACAGGTAAGCAAACAGTTCTTTACCAACCCATCAGGGAAGAAAAAAAAATGCTTCTGACAGCTAGAAAAGGGAAGATTGCCTGTTGACTATTACCAAAGGTGAACAATTAAACTCAATTTGCATTTCGAGTGTGCCCTATGTGTGAAAAGTAAAATATGGGAGCAAATGCAAAGAGGGATTTTTCTGAGTGGCTTGTGGAATCAGTTTCTTTACTTGGTAGTCCCATCCATATACAATTTCTCAATGACTAGCTAGCTGAGCTCACTTATGGACACGTGGTATTCTCTAAGAGTTCTCAAATGGAAGAAAGACTCCCCATAAGCAAGTCACCTACAAAAAAAGATGAACTTTGAATTACAAAAAGCAGAGAAGATGAATTTCAGTAAGCATTTTTCAAACCAACAGAAGTATATGACAAAAATACAAGGATAATTACAAATGAAAAGTTAAGAATGTGAAGGAATGCAGAAGAAACATAGGAAGAAAAAGCTTTAACAGATCTCATAGTATTCTACATACCCATTATTCTAGAAATCCATAAAAAGTTGATCTTTTAACGCATCTAAAATTAACTTCTCTCTAAACAAAAACCCCAGCAAATAAATGTCTACCTGTAAAGTACCTGAAACTTTCTCTGTGATTTTAAAATATAAACTTAGAGCTTGTAACAAGTCAGTTTTTAAAAATTTGCATTATATATATATAATGTCAAATTTTCATGTGACATTTCCTCAAAACCATTTAAAATCCTCATTAAACCATAACCAAATATCAACTGTTATATTATTGATAGGGCACTATGCCAATTTTCACTTAAACCATTAAAAAAAGCATCCCTTAAATAAAGGGAGCCAATTGTTGACATTTACCCTTTTACTATAAAATTACTCTAATTTCAAGAACTACAGTTTCTACTATTGTCAAAGAGTCTATCTCATACCTCCCTTTCCTATAGTAAAAGACTGATGCATCTACAAATACACTTTTGCTTTAAAAAAAAAAGTATTCTAAAGAAGTCATTGGGGAAGCCTTTCTATCCTCTTTCATTAAAAGGCTGAACAAAGATATGATCTTCAAAGCCGGATTTGACATTTCACCATTATCTCTCCAGAACCTTTCCAGATACACTGGAGGAGATAGATACCTTACTCGGATCTTTTTCTACTAGAGGGCCTTCTGGTTTTCCAGAATGAGAAAACTTCTCATTTTATGTCGCAGTCTCAAAACTCACACTGACAAAAGTTTCTGTCCTAAGTGTTCCAGTGTGACTGACATCTAAGAAAGAGACAATCCTATGGGGCATAACCTACTGGCTAGCTACCACCTCTAAATTGAGAGGATTAAGCTAAAATCCACCTTTTAGAATAAACAATTTGCGTCCTTATCCACTTTAGTATTTTTAAGCAATTGTGACAAGACTAATTCTCTCTTACACACCTTTACATCAGCAATCTAAAGCTCAGGTCTTTTCAATCAACTTTACTAAACACAACTAATTTTTATATTTAGAAATGCTAAGGGCCTCAAATTGAAGGAAAAAAAGAAAATAAAAGAAAAACCAACTCTCCCAAAGTTGCATCCTAAACTACATTTGGCCAAACATTCCTATAAAATATTTTAAATAAGATTTCCATACCTGTCTTCATCACCATCAACAGGAATAGCTATGCTGAATACAGAGGTGGCCAGACTGTTCATAGGTGTTAACTGAAGGGGGTTTGCCAGGGCATCTGCAACAGGAGGCTTCACAACAGGCTTATTTTCAGCAATGAGAGAAAGTGGTGGTTGAGGTAGGGGTTCTGATTTTCTTCTAGTATCGTCAACTTGCCCGACCAAAGACTGGGTCTGAGTCTGAAACTGGCTTAGGTCAGGCTGTGGTAGACTTGCTGCATTGGGTGTGCCTTGCGCTAAAGGCAGCCCAACATGCTGGATTAGGCTGCCGCTCCTGCTGACTGGCGTATGGCTGCTCAGCTGCTGCGACGGGACCAGAGGCGCGGGTACATTTGGCATAGTAACAGAAGTGGTAGACACACTAGGCACGCTTGGGGCGGGCACGGCGGCAGGCACGTTTGGAACTCCGGGCACCACGGCGTGAGGGCCAGTAGGCCCGGCTGACGGCGCACCGCTGCCACCCAACTGCGGCGGGGGCGCAGACTGGGGCTTCCCGGCCCCGGCAGGAACCAGGCCCGGCTGCCCTGCGCCTCCCATAGCGGCTGGGGGGACTCCCGCCGGCTGAAAATGCGCGGCCTGTCCGCCTGGCGCGGGTCCCGGCCCTGGGGCCACAGTTTCACTGGGCACGGAAGAGGCGCCCATGATGTGCGTGCCCCCGGAGGAGGTATTCTGGCCGGTGCCCACCGGAAGGCTGGCCGCCGCGGCGGGGCTCGCTCCCGCGCCTGTGGCGGAGGGCTGCGCCGGGCTTGGCGACTTTAGGCCCGCCACGTGATGCTGCTGCAGGTATTCACTCGGGCCAGAGGGCTGGACCGGCATCAAATGCCCCGGCGGAATCTGAGGCTGGGGATAAGCGAACTGCTGAGGCTGCTGCGTCGCAGAAGCGCCGGCGGCCGGGCCCGGCTGCGGAGGCAGGGACATGCCGGGCTGCGCTAGGGTTACATTCGTCGGCGGCAGACCCTGTGCACTGGGCCCCGGAGGGACAACGCCGGGCCCGGTTCCCTGGGGCTGGGCTGGCTGCGGGGCTGCCATTATTTGCTGCGGCCCGGCCGCAGCGCCCGAGAACGATGGCATCGGAGCCGAGCTTGGAGCCACAGCCCCACCTACGGGCAGCGGCGGCTGAGGCTGCCCAACGCCAAAACTCAGCCGCGGGGCCGAAGCCGGCAGGTTCATTTTCTCCGACGGGGGTAGCTGTGACACAGCAGTCAAGGAACTGTCAGTTCCAGAGTCGGGCCCATGCGCCCCCTGCATGGAGGCCACCACCACCACCACCGACCCGCCAGTGGCGCCCAGGCCGCTGTCCCGCTCCGCAGTCTGGTCAAAAGTACTGCTGTGCCTAATGCAATCCCCTGACCTGGTCAAGACGCTGCTGTCGGAATCGCGCTCGTAGTATTCCATACACGTCCATCGGCCGCGTCTATAGGGCTCCCCGCTTCCGTGGTCCAGCTTTATCACGCGAAAACGGGAACTACAAGTGGTGGGGGGCTGCGATGGAGCTGCAGTCCCCGGCGCAGCAGATAAGCCTCCGGCGGCGTGGGCGCCGGGTGCCCCTGAGGCAGGGGTCGAGGTGGCGGCCGCCGACAGAGTATTGGCTAGCGCCCCTGCCACGCTCCGGGCCGAAACGGCTCCTCCTCCGTTGGCTGGAGCAGCCGCCGCGGCCGCCAGCTGCCCGTCCAGGGGGAGGTTTGGGGAGACCGTCCCGGGAGTCTCCGCATCCCCAACATTGTTGAGCGTCTCTTCGGAGGAGCTACGCTCGCAGACCTCCTCGGGGCCATAATCCGTGGCCCGAGAAACGTCGAATATCTCAGAGGAGACATCCTCTGTGCGTGACTCGTCCGGGTCGTCCAGGCTCTCGGTGTCCTCGGTGATGCTAGTGGCCACCTGGGCCGTGGTGACACTGGTGATCTGGAAGCAGCTCTTCTTCTTGGCCGGCATCTTGGACATGGTGAGGAAGGCTGGAGGGCAGAGGCACGTCGGCTCCGCTGCGGTCTTGCCGGAAACCAGGAAGGACAGCCGGGCCCCCAAAGACAAAGTCCGAGTCCGCGCTGGGGTCTGAGGCCCGCCGCCGTGAGCGTCACGGGCTGATCCGGGAGCCCGCCGCTCTGGGAGACATCCTCCTCCCCGCTTCCTTCTCTGTGTCGGGCTCCTCGGCTCTGCCCCCCGGCTCACTCGCGCGGCGGCTCCTCCTCCTTTTTCGCCTCCGCCAGCCGCGGCGCCTCAATTCAATCCCCTCAGAGGCGGCGAGAGCGCGATCCCAGGGGCGGGCCGGCTGCTGCTTCCTCCTGTCTCCGGGGCACCGTGGTCAGTCCAGCTCGGCGCTCCGCGCGGTCAGCAGGCCTTGGCTGGGGGTGGGAGTGGGAGGACGAGGGGGAGGAGGCGGCGGCGGCGTGAGGGGCGGTGCTGTCCCGCTCAGGCTCCGGAGGCCGGTGCCGGCGTCAGCTCCGGGCTCTCGGACGCTGAGGAGAGAAGGGGAAGGAGCGGCGGGTCCGAGCCGGGGATTTCTGACTCAGCCAGGAGTCGCGGGCTGGCGACGGAGCTGCGGTGCGGGCGGGCGGCCCTCCCTCCCCGGCTCTAGCCGGCGCTCAGCCCCAGACCATGTCGACGGTCTCTGGCGGAAACCCACTCCGGGAAAGGGAGGGGAAAACCGACTCGGTCCTCCCCTCACAGGGGGAGCCACCCCCGCGGGCGACGGCGGCGGCAGTCCCGGCCTCCCCTCACGGCTCTTGAGAGAGTGAGGGGCGGCGACCGGCTGACGGGCGAGCGGAGGCGCTCTGGGTGTGAGGTAGCGGCGGTAACTTCTTCGGCTCCGCCTCGGTGCGCCCGGTTCGCAGACCCTGTAGAAACTGAAATTCAAACTGCTGAACCGGCGACTGCAGCTCCCTCCCCTCCGCCAAGATGGGGCTGAAATGGCCGCGCCAGGGATGCTGGGAGGAACAGCAGCCCCGCAGCCTCCGCCGCTGTCGACTAAAATGCCGCCGCTGCCGCAGCCACCGCCAGCGCCGCAGCCGCCGCCGTTCCGTGACGCACCGGCGTCGTGACGTCACCACCCCGCCCCCTCCGGTTTCCTGCAGTTTCGCGTGGAGGCTTGAGGGCAGCGGCTTGTGGGCGTGGCTAAAGGTTAAAAAAAAGGGAGCGGTTTTTTTATTTAAAAATTTTTAAAATTTAAATTTCACGTTGTAGGTCTTTAAGAGTTGAAGAGCTAGTAACTCTTAAATTCCAAGCCTAGAGAACCTTAAAACCGCACCAATCAACTGTTCTTATATTTGTTTCGAGACACTGGAAGACTGGAGGTCATGTGCTGTGTCTAATGTTTAGCAAAATCTTAGTGAAACAAGGGCGATAGGAATGGGGGTTGGGGGATTTATCTAGGATAAAGAGGGATACGACTGGAGTAACCGAATCACTTAAGTCTTTCCTGAAAATAAATGTTGATCACTACAGTCAGAGGAGTGAAATGTTGAGAGAAATGGGGATGATTAACCAAGAATAGCAAGCCAGATTGAGTCAGAAAAATGATCTTCCAGCCAAAAATTGTCTCCAACAATGGCATCAGGAGATGGTTACTTGCCCAGGGTGAGGTCAGTTTAAAAAAAGATTAGAGGTTACTAACATATTCCTAATTTTCCTGAATTTGCTGTGATTCCAGCATCCAAGAGTTCATTTAAAGTCTTGAGACTGTTTTTACTTTCCCCAGGAAATCAGCTTATGGGCTCCATAAATGTAGAACCTACTGCGTTGAATAGTTACAGGTCTTTCTTTTGTTTATTCTAAAAGTCTTAGTTGGAGCCAGGGTGTTATATAGTTTGGATTGGGCCATGAAAACCAGAACAATTTAGAAAGCACCCTTTCCTGTCCCAGTGCAGAGAGCAGTTATGAAAGTACTGGCGAATTTATTATCATTTACCTACTTTTTGGCAAAAGAAAATGGTAAGGCCATTATTTTAAACAGTGGGAAAAAAATGAGTAAGGAGGCTCTTGAACTTTGAGATTCTAATACATTATTTTGGTAAAAGTTTAAGAAGTTTTGCTGGAAATCAAAATGTCGTATCTATTTCAGCTTTAGTAGTCATATCATGATCACTTACATAAATCAGTCATTATACTCAGTTCTCTAATATTTGAAAAGTAGAAATACGTTTTTCCCAAAGGATGTTTTGATAATTAAAATTTACAGAGAACTTTTTAGGTCCTTAGTTGTAAATAATATGCAGAGATAGGTCTTTTAACCTTGGTAGAAACCATTCTTCCAAACCCAAGTAACTGAGGTCAGGATGTGAAATAAGACCACATAATAACATCCCTGTTTCTTAAGGGGGTGGGAGAGAGTGAAAGAACAAAGTGTAACATTATGCTGCTATTGTGGCAGAGATAGCTAATGGAATATTTCATTTCTAAATGTATAATTTCAGTAATTGTTAGAGACAGTTTTCCATCAGTAAGTAGATCAACTGGTTAAATCCAATATGAGCTTTTAAAAGCTTAGTTTAACTTTGGATAGATTTACCAGATTGTTAAAAGTGGTGATCAATGGATGATGCTGAGCATACGGCTATTGGAAAACTAGTTTAATATGCCTGCTTGTCCCATTACATTATCTTATTACATAAACTTCTTGATTACTTGTTACGGTATTCTTAATCACACATTTTAAGGAAACACTTAATCTGTAAGACCGTTTCTCCCTAATGAACATGTAAAGGATTTATTATGAAATGAAAGTGATGATAAAGATAAATTAGGGAAGATCAGTGAGCGGGCTATATTTCTGGTAAGGATGGGATTAAAGATGTCTAAAGACATCTTAGCAAAACATAAGATTTATAAAGTTAAGTGTTTTATTTATATATTTAAGGATTTGTGTATGTTTAATAAAATAATTCTCTTAAAAGTAAGTTTTCCAAAAGTTTTAAAGGCCCTAGCTTTTTTTTTTTTTTATAGATTTGCTCTTTAAAAATGTAGAGAATTTATTGCATGAAACTCCCATGAAGAAATTATAAGAATTCTGGTTGTTGCAAACAGGTTTGAAATCATTTTACAGAGGACAAAAAGTCATATGGCTATCATCAAACTACAAAAAGCTATGTAATTCATGGTTGGTCCACAAGGGTTAAAAGCCTTTACGTAACTAATTAAAATGATAGAAAACAGGATATTCGTGCAGGTATGTATGCTCTGTGTTTGGAGAGTTGATAGTAAGTAAACTATGGTAGCCTAACTCACTGGAACTGGAGAGAACTCAATGGAACTGGGGATATCCCTGCTGTCCCAGACTTCAAGATGAGGGGTCTTACTGCAGCTATTCTGGCTTCAGGCCTGCACCCAGAAACCATAGGTGGAAACCGTGGGAATCTTTGATTACTGTTCCAGAGTCCCCAGCTTGACAGTCTTATATCTGATCCTTTCCTCAAAAACTTAATTTGAAGCAACGTATGGGAAGTACAATGTGTGTGTGTGTGTGTGTGTGTGTGTGTGTGTGTGTGTGTGTGTGTGTGTGTGGACGACTTAGACACTGAAGACTGTTTCCACTGATGAAAAACAAAAACAACTGCAGCAAGACCTTTGCATCATAATCCCAAATTTTACTAGGTTATTATCTAACCATATCAGTACCATATTGTAAATTGTTTCATGGTCACAAGACCCTGGAATGTGAACTGTAGATACTCAAGAAAAATTAGCTTTTTTTTTTTTGAATGAATGCATATTATATTCTAAATAGTAATGGTATATTAATCTAAAGAGACTGGGATAGAGAAAAGAAAAGCATACTTTCAGTAAAAATTAAGCAACTGCTTAGGCTAAGAGAAATAACCCTTTAGAATTAATACTATCAGTCAGTGACATTTATTGAGCACTCCCTGTGTGTATTTGGAATTGGACAGCTTGTATCCCAGCCAACAAGTTTTTCTGAGATTTAGAAATAGTTTATGTTTATTTTCTGTTTTTATCACCAAATTGTTAGAAAAATAAAAAATGGAGGACTAGTTTTCAGGTTCCAAAAAGCATTTGATGGAAATAAGTATCAGTTGTCTAAACAAGTAGTACTTGATTATTACTGTCATTTTCCTGGGGTTCCATTTCAGAAACAATATCTTATTAATAATCCCTTGCACTGAGGCCACTTTATAATATTATCCCAAAAGGCGGGGGGGGGGGAAATCCAATGAAATTCTATGAATACTTTTATAAAGGAAAACATAATCTGATTGAGATGCATAAATTTTACTTGAGCATGAAGTATGTAAATTTTTCACATTTAAGAAAAGTTCTATTACTCTTCTAGACTTTAATATACTGTGAAACTTTTTTAAATTGTGAAGGCTTCCATGAGTCCCAAAGACTTTTGAAGCTCAGGCAAAACAGCAGTTTGGTGGGGAAAAAGGGTACATTTTGAACTAACAATAAATATAATGCCCTATTAAAGCTTGTTTCCTTTTAATATGGCACTTAATTTACAATCCAAAATATTAGTTCTGTGTTTCTGAAATCTAGCTTAAATACTGCAATGTATGGCCATGTATTTTCATAGAAAATCTATTAATGACTATATTAAATATATATACATAGATGTGTATATATATATATATATGTGTACGTATGTGTGTATGCATATATACAGAGGGTACCAAAAAATGTATACACATTTTAAGAAAGGAAAACTGTATTAAAATTGTAATAATATATACCGATAACAAAAGATGAATACAAGTCACGTTTTACTTCTGCAATTACAAGAGGTGCTCAAAGCGGTTACCATCAGCATCCAGACACTTCTGATTATGGCGAACTACTGCTTGAGCAACATTGACCAAGGTGTCTGTCCACTTGTATACATTTTTTTGGCACCACTGGTATATATATGATATATGACCACCCAGGATAAAACTAAAGAAATCTACATTGCCTAACTGGAGAAAACTTTAGATCAAGAGTACGCTCTAGTTTTGCTATAACCTTGTTTTGTGACTGCTGAGAAGTCTGTTAATTGCTCAGTTTGCTCTTACTAAAATGAAGCAAAACTGTGGTCATGAAGTCTTAAACTACCAATCCCACTGAAAGAGGGGATGGGAAAAGATAACACATGCTGCATCTTTGGAAGGAAGAGCGCAACTCAATGTGATACAATTGGCAGTAATATTTTCAATGCCATTCGTTAATTAAAAGAGAGAACAGCTTCCAAGCGTACATGATTTTATGAAGAAGCCATATCCTGTCGTAGATGAAGTAGTTATTTAGAGACATTTAGTGGCTTGTCCTTTGGGAAGGTGAATCATCACCATCTATTTTGTCTTTCCTGTGTATATGAATTTGGTGTGTGCGCAGGTGTGATTTTGTATCTAAGTGGTAGGTAATATACCTGTAATTTTAAGTTGTAACTTTAACACAAAAGAACATTGAAAGACATAGCCAATTTCTAGACTACTAGGTTATAGTTCCTTCTGAATGTTACAATTATCAGCTTATAGAGTTTTTTTAAAAGTGTGTTTGAATGTAGAAACTTGTATAAACTTATTTTGACATGAAGGATGGTCTAAGTGTTCTTGATTGATCATCTGAAGGTCATCCTAGCCTGGCTGATTGGACTACTTTTAATTCATAGGAACCAAAAGTTGACAGGCACAGATAGAATCTTGACTACTTTTTATTCAGTTATGTTTTAATTCCAAAATAACTAGCTCTTTAGTCACTGGAAACAAAACACTTTTAGCATTTAATTTAGAATACTTGAAATCCTAGTTTGACAGCATTCATACTCATTAAAAGCTCAACCCATGATCCATGTTTGCACAAGGATTTGGGTGTTTCTTAAAATGGCCATGTAATAAGCTGCTTTTCTGCAAATTAGTACTCCCTTCCCCCATCTGTAACCTGGGATCTTTGGAAAAGAGGGAAGCGAGTAAGCAGTAAAGAAATAGGGGGGAAATGGGAAATCAAAATCATGGTGAAATATTAACCATAGGGTTGTTCAGTTGTGGCCATCAAATCCCAAATGAATAATCGGAACAGCATTACTATGACACCCATTTTGTGGCACTTGCCTATTTTTAAACTAAATCAACTAAATACAAATATATTTTCATCTTCAAATAATTACAGTATTTTCTCCATCTTCACCCCATTTTTCTCCCTGAATTTTGATATGAATCTTTTTTGTATCTGAATATTGTTTATTCAACAACTGATCTAATTCTATATTTTAAGTTTATATGTGTTACATTCCTACTTGTTTTATAGGCACTCTATTAATACAATGGTTCTACCCCCTAAGGAAAAAAAATTAGTCTATCTACAAAAATGCATGTTTTCAAGAAAGATAAATTATATGGTGATGATTCATTCACATTAGTTAAGTATTCGCCACTGAATTTCCTGAAGCTTAACTACTGTTTTAAAAACATTTTCTTATTAATATTTCATTTGAAATATTGTGGCATAAGAAAAATAATTACTGGTAACATCAATCTGCTTATTTATTTATTCAACATGTATTTAGAAGCCTCCTCTGTATGGGCCTTTTTGCTAGACTTGGGGAAAACAGTTATGAACTAGACAAGAAAAGGAAAGCCCTTGTTCTAACAGGTCTTGTGTTTTAATAGGGTAAAGATACCAAAGAAATAACTAAATGTGATTATTTCAAATATCCATAAGTGTTAAGAAGAAACAACAGTGGAAGGTGGGGGCAAGGGCCTCTTAGGTGTCTGGCAGGTGGGCCTGAGGAAAGGCTCTTTGAGCCAAGATCAAGCTCATAGTCAGTAGCCAGTATTTAAGGAAGAGGGATAGGTGCTGACAATGGTCCTTTGGTAGAAACTAGTGTGTGGTACGGAGGGCGCTGGGGGCACCTGAGAGGGAGTAGGGCATTTAAGATGGTGTCTGGAGGGATCAGGGGCCAGATCTTATGGACCTTGCTGGCCAAGTGAAGGAACTTGTATTTTAGATGTAATGGGAAGCCATAGGAGGGTTATAAGCAGAGGATTAACATCATTTGATTTACATTTATAAAGAAACTTTTTTATTTTCTTAACCTCTCACATGAATATGTTGTGTATTATGTTTAGACAGGTGTTTATAGGGCTATCATATTGTATCATACCAAAATGGTAGAAATATTGAACACTCTCCATAACATTTCTTATACAGAAATTTAATAACTTTGTAGCAAAACAACTAATTAAATACCTGTAAGAGAGAAATCTTTTTCTCAGTGAAACCCTAAGAAACTTAATGGCAGTGATTTTGACTACTCAAGAAGAATTTGAAATGCCCCACTTAAAAAACAACAACTCTGAGCAACTGTGAAAAAGGAAACCATTTTATTTGAGTGTAATTATTAGATAAGTGTGATAGAACCACCTGACAAGAACTCTTTAACAAGTAGAGCTAATTTTAGGCTCAGCCTGAGCCTCATTTTTCCAATGAGATAAAAATATACATAGATAAACCTAGGGATACTTTGAAGCATTCAGTTAGTCTTAAAAGAGCCACAGCGGAGGGAACTTTATGGAAGAGGTAGGAAGCAAGGCCATACGTTTTGCTGTTGGTGGGTTGCCTTTGTTTTAGACAGGTATACATGTTCTAGTATTGCATTTTTGTTAACTATCATTCTAAAACTTTTAAATTATGTTACAACTTCATTATGAAGCTTATGAAGATTGATCATTATTGGTTTATAATAGCACCTTGTAATGGTTTGAAAAATATTACCCAAACTTTATAACTCACCTTTATCAATGAACTTTATTTATAGTTGACTTCTATTTGCAAAACTCAAAACCATTTTGAAGATGAACGTTTGTCATCATTTGATGATATTTAAAAACTAATAAATATGATAGAATATCAAGTAAAAAAATTAAACAAAATTGTATTTCATCTTTGAAAAAAAATTATCTGTATGCATAAGAAAAGAATTTTGGGGAAAATACATCAGAATTTAAATAATGGCTATCTCCAGGTGATGAGATTACAGGCTTTTTTTTTTTTTTTGGTTTTTAAAAATATTTTCCAAATTTTCTACAATGATCACATACCATTTTTTATCTGAATATATTACTTTTATGTAAAAAAAAATGTACCCATACATATCACGTAAACCAGCGGTTCTCAACCTTCCTAATGCCACGACCCCTGAATATAGTTCCTCATGTTGTGGTGACCCCCAACCATAAAATTATTTTCATTGCTACTCTATAACTGTAATTTTGCTACTGTTATGAATCATGATGTAAATATCTTTTTGTTTTCCTATGGTCTTAGGCGACCCCTGTGAAAGGATCATTTGACCCCCAAAGGGGTCGCGACCCACAGGTTGAGAACCGCTGATGTAAACCAAAAGTAAAGGTATAACAATAATGAAGACCACAATTTTAGTTATGTCATAGATGATACTTCATAATTGTTATCCAAAGAAAGATAAATCACCCAGCAGAAAGAGTATATATTTGAATGCCATCAAAAAATTATATTAGGAAACAGTAGTGCTTTTTCAGCTGAATCAAATTAATGCAAAGATACTTTAAGGTTAATTTATGAAATTAAAAAGGAATGAAAAAGGCAGAAAAATAAAATATGAGAAATAAAGTTGAAAGAAAATGGGGTGTCAGGAAACCTTTGTTCTGTTGTAGGCTCTGCAGCTTGTTATGGCCCTTGAACAGGTCATAATCTCTCTGGGCCTCATATTCTTTATAAAATAAGGGAGTTGACTGAGAAGATGACTATTTTGGGTTTTAAAATTTTATGGATCTAGACCAGGGGTCTGCAAACTGCGGCTCGCGAGCCACATGAGGCTCTTGGGTACATATATGTGGCTCTGAAGTAAAATTGAAAATGAAAATGAAACTACCATAGTTTTATTTATAAAATTTTCAAAGGATATTATTCACATAATGGTTATTTCATTTGTTTTATGACTCTTGAATAATTTTTAAATTGCTGTGAGGGACAGAATTGGCTCTTTCGTCTCAAAAGTTTGCCGACCCCTAGTTAGACTATCAAAAGGCAAGTTTGGAGTCTTGGTTTTGCATGCAGCAGCCAACATATAAATGGGTCCACAGAATGTTTTTACTTCAGCTTTGATAATACTCATATTTGCTGGTTATTGCCTGATCCCTGCAAATTACCCTCCTGCCTCAGGACCTTTGCACTTAACTGTACCTTCTGCTTATTCTCTGAAATATTCGCATGCCTTCAAGCCTTTGCTCAAATTTCACCTTTTCACTGAGATCTACCCTAACTATTCTATTTAAAACTACAAGCCTCTCCCACTCCCATCCCTATTTTCTGCTTTATTTCCCCCTGTAGCACTCATTACCTTCTAATATATTACTATGTTATTTATTTATTTTATTAGTTGTCTATCTTCCCACACTAAAATAGATTGTTCCAAGGAGGGCAAAGGCTTTCATCTGTCTTGTTCATTCTTGTATTCCCATGGTCTGTAGTAGAGCCTGGCACATATTAAATTGTGAATAAATATTGGTATAAATAAATGAATTTTCCATTTTTACAAGATTCTACAACATTTTCATTCAACATTATGAAAGTAAGGTAATAAACATGCTCAAAATTATGAAACATTGGTACAGTGGAAAATTCCCTGCAAATCTAGGTAGTTTTATAAACATGTATCTTTAAGATGACAACAAAAAAGAAATGATTTTAATTATTAGACAAAAAAATTTTAAAACCTTTTTTTGAAGCAATTTTATTCTTTGCAGAAATTTCAGAAAATATGCAAGCTCTATATTGGATCACCTGCAGAAGTATTCTGTAGAAAGCATCTTTAATATTCTAAGAATACAGCACTTTAGTATTCTGCAGAATGCATAAGGTTGAAATTTTGATCAAGATACACATTGCTGTCACAAGCCATTCTTAATCATATTTAATTCAAGGTTCATTGAACCATATTTATTTGGTATAATAGCCTGGTTTAAATAACATTTTTTTACATAGAAAAAATTTAAAAATAAAGCCACTTCTAGGGATAAAAACATCTTATCATTTAGTTTTAACCGTAGGCCTATAGATATGTCACTATAGTAACAAACTACTGGTGGGGGGAAAAGCTCAATTTTGAATCCACAGAGTCTAAGTGCTCTGGGTTAATGAATACCTCTGCTAAAAAATGTCTTTTATAGACTCCTTGGGCTTTGTTTTCTTCAACTGTTTGGTTTGGCTGCTCTCATTTACATACTTGTTCTCATTAGGGTTTGAATTTCAGAGCTGGCCTCACTCTGCAATGGGAACAAATGTCTTGCCATGTGATACTAACTTTCCATTACATCCTGAAGCATTTGCAGTCCCAAAGGCAAAGAATTTATGGTTGGTACATGAGAGATGGAACTACTGCATAAAAGCAGCCAAATTTGAAAACATGTTTTCTTGTGGGCAATATAGCTTCAAGATAATGAGAACTCAGAATAATCAGCTAATGACCAAAAATGAATCATTGTTAAAACACTTTTTTTGGCATGAAATAGCTAATGTTTTTAGTTGGTTGATAATTTTCATAGCAACCGTGGTATTTGGCATGTCCTAAACACCTTTCATTAGAAGCCTTCAGACCCCTCTGAAGCAGATCATTATACTCTGAAACAGCTCTGAGACTAAGGGAGAAAAATACACAAGTTTTGCTGATATTCTGTAGCTGTGTAGAGAGCATAGTGTAGCAAGTACTTAAAACACACTGCAGGATTGTTCAATAATTCTTCAGCCAAGTAGGAAATTGAGTAGATGAACAAGAGAGATTCAGAAGTACTGAAAGTTAATCCCGAAATTAGAGTTTGGTCAGAATCCCAAACTTAATTGTTTTAGTCTTTAAAAAATAAAAAATAAATGAGTCGTGGAGGCTATTTCAATAGCAGGGTCACTATTAATGTCTATAAAAATAACATGACACCATATTTCCAAGGAATTCTGTATACTTTCAAACTATTCCTTATTCCTCACTATCATCCATGAGATTTTTTTGGTGGCAAGTGTTATTCTAGTTTTGGCCAGAAAGTCAAGGGAAAAACTATCAAGAATAGAAGTCAATAAACATTTATCTCAGTCTGTCAAGATCTTGTATCCAGGTTTATCTTCTGTTTCACTCAAATAAAATTTTATATATATACAGAGGGTACCCCAAAAAAAGGATCCACATTTTAAGAAAGGAAAAAACTATTAAAATTGTAATAGTATATACTGATAACAAAAGATGAATACAAGTCACGTTTGACTTCTGCAATTACAAGCGGTGCTTAAAGTGGGTACCATCAGCGTCCAGACTCTTCTGATTACGGCAAACTAGTGCTTGAGCAACGTTGACCAAAGTGTCCACTTGTATACATTTTTTTTGGCACCCCCAGTGTGTGTGTGTGTGTGTGTGTGTGTGTGTGTGTGTGTGTGTGTGTGAAGTCAATAACTGTAAGAACTCATCACAGATCTTTATATCTCTGGACATCTCTTGTATTTGTGTAACACTTTATAGTTGTAAAACTCTTGCCATACGTCATAACCCTATATCTGTGTGACCTTGGGCAAGTCACTCAGTCCATGGCTGTGGCTCCCATTTGGTAAACTGTGTTTAATAGTTGCCCTCTACTAAGTCTACAGGAATGCTTCAGAATTAATAATAGAGTAGTCCAACACATATGAACGCTTTAAAACAAAGGTATTATTATAAATGTAAGGTATTATTATTATTCATCTAACTTGGGAAACAAATTTAGAGTGACTGAGTTGGCTCTAAGTATTTAACCACTTTGATCCCAAGAAACCCATAGAACCATAGATGAAAATGTTTATATTATACAACTTAGGTAAAAAAGCATGAGATTTTGTCACAAAGGGCAAAATATTGCCTCTTAAATGGGAATAGTACTTTCTCAAAATATATAATCAAATATTCATTCTGAACCATAAACTCACTACTTTTATTTAAATTCATCAAACTGCATATAATTTCATCAGTTACTGACCAACATTCAGACTACATATGGCAAGTGATGACAAAACCAATCTGTTTGAAAAGATGCTCAATTTTGGGATAATTAATCCCATAATTACTATGATATATATAAACTGAAGAAGAAATAGGTAATATTTTTGAAAAAAATTGTATTTTCCATATATATAAAATAAAGAAAATACTTCATAAGTAATACTTAAGGAAGTTAGCTACAATAGCCTTGTCATATAGCTCACATATTAGAATAAAATCTCCTTAAGGACATTAACTATTCTATAAGATGTGTCAATTTAAATGAAATGATATTCTCTAGCTTCTAAATTATTGTTCTTTTAAAAATATATCACTACCCAAAATCCACGTGATTGATAGATTATTTGTGCTAACTAAACATTGCCATCAGAAAATGATGATTTTTAAATTATTTAGAAATTTTTGTATAATGAATGAAAATAGTTACATATTCAGCTAGGTTCCTAGAAAACAGAAAAAAAAAAAGAGCAGCAGAGAGAGATGGAAAAGAATGAGTGTTTAAATATGTGCCAGGCAGTGTGGTAGACATTTAAATGATCTTCATTTAATTTCTACAACAACCCTATTGGATAAGCACTATCATCACCTATTTAGAGATGAAGAAATTGAGCCTCAGAGCCACTGAGGACTTCCTCAGGAGTTCAGAATCAGAGCCACATTTGAACTGGACCCGGGTATTCCCCAGGTCCATGTTCTCTCCTATTACTCCATTTTATACTTTATGAACCACAGGTTAGATGTTCCCAAACTTGTGAAGAGGAACTGCTTTGTGGGTTTTTATTTTATTGTGAGATCTTACAGTGGTGGAAGGGAGAGGCCAAGAGAGAGGGGCTGGACCTCTTACAGATGAATTTAAGGAGAAAGGCTCTTGAGTGGGGAAGGAAGTGGGAAAGAGGTGGTTTCTTGCCGTGCGAGGGAAGCACTGGACCAGTGCAGGGCTTAGGGTGTACCATTTAATGAGCCTGGTGGTGGGAACCGCTGCCGTGGTTGGAGGAGGCTCTCCGGAGGGCCTTCTGTTCACTTGCATTACGGAGTAGAGCTTTTATAATATGAGATAAAGAATTTTATTTTTCTATTCCTGAAAGCCAAAAATATGAAACAAGCCCAAAACTAGAGGTGTTGGTCTGCCATTCTTTTTCAATTCAAATGAAGATGCACCTTTAGCTGGAATGTATGTGTAACTGTTTTGGAATTACGTGCTCCAGGGTCAGACTATCTCCGCACAGCAGACAAGCAAATTCCCGAGATACCAGGCAATGTTTTCAGCAGGCTGCTGCTTCTTCCTGTCCCAGAGAAGAGAGGTCTTTGGTTCTAGTCCCTGCTTTGCAACAGGCAAATCATTTCACCTCTCTGGCCCTCTGTTTTTTCCTCCTTTGAAAAATAAGAAGGCTGAACATGACAAATCCTAGACCCCCTTCCAGCCCTTCTGCTCAGTGGTTCCAGGAGTACAGAAATTACAGTTTATTTCTTAGGTGCTCTGAGGGAATAAAACAAACACAATGACCTTCCATGATAAAACTCTCTGTCTGCTATTCTAATTTTAGTGTCCAAAGATTAAAATTCATTAATCCTGTAGACTTGTCGGGAAGCAGGTCAATTGACATTTCCATATACTTATTTGAATGTGTTTTAGCATTGTGGGACAATTTTTCTGTGGGCTGAAACTTTGCTGGGAGTTAATTCGATTTCCTTTTTTTACATCTTATTTTACAATTTTAAAGTAATTGACTTATTTTGGTTGTCCTATGTGGGTGCTTTTAAAATCTCAAATAATTTTGTCAAACACTCCAAAAATTGTGATCTGACCCCAGAAATTATTTTAGGGACAATTGCTTGCTATATGAAAAGGAATAGATGAAAATACAAATTTTAGAACATTTCAGTTATTCAAACATGCTGAATACATGCTGAATGGAAACATTGTGCTATAGTATTACTTCATGCTTTTATACTGCCTAAGGTTCATTAATTCACGAATGGGTGGATAATCTTGGTGAGAAAATGAGAAGACTTTTAATTGTGTGATGTGAGAATATAGATCCACCTTATTTTGGAGCTGCACTTGCTCAGTATACACGCGGTGAGTTCCTACTAACTTGATGAGCACTGCCTACTTGCTGAGGTTACACAGATGAGTCAGATATGTTCCCTGCCCTGGGAAAATCAAAGCTAGTAGAAGATGCTTGTTGTTCATCTGGGAAAAAGAGAGCTTATAAAGTTATTCGATTATATTACCTTATTTGAACCAATGATGTGATATTATTTTCTTTATTTTACTCATGAAGAAACAGTCTCATAGAGGTTAGTCATAGTCAACTTGCTCTTACTTGCTCAGTATTTGGTGTCCTGTTTAACGAGGTCTGGGACTTTGTCATGTCTATCCTTTTTACTTTGTAGCCCCAGTGCCTAGTACTGTACCTGGAACATAAAAGGTGCTCAACACACATTTGATGGGTTAATAAGTATTGGACTATTAGTACAGCCAACAGATATTGGATCACAGGTAAGCATTCGTAGTATTAGTCTTCTCATACTTCAAGCAACTGCTCTTTCACTATGTCTTGCTGCCTCTTTAATTATATCTGTTTAGTATTAACGGAATGGATGCTTGAGGTCTGGAAAAAGAATTATGTACTACCTAATTTTTTAAAGAAGGAATGAGATTGCCTTTGAAAAGTAGAAGCTGAACACCCTTACAAAAAAACCAGGATAAATCCCAGAGAGCTTGGATCTTGAAATTCAACCATCAAAGTATTCTTTCTTTAATAAGAAACAATTATGTCATATGTCATATTGTTTAATGGTGTGGAATAATTTTGAATTGCCCATTAGAAGAGATGGCAGTAAGTCTGAGGGTCTAGTAATAGTTTGTGTGCTTTATTAGTAATTTGGAGGATATTTGTGAAGCTGAGTTTATGGCTGATATAGGATTATGAGCTCTTTAGAATTAAAGAATGGAATTCAAAATGACCTTGACAAAATTGAGGATTGTTAATCCTAAACAGAAGCGTGTAGATGGGAAAAACAAATGTACAATAATTGTAATATGCAACTGTGGCACGAAGGTGTTTAGAGCACCAAATTCATTAATCACAAAGTAATTCTTGTATTCCATCCTTCAGACTGTTAGCTGAAATACTCTATTCAGCCATGGGCCTACTAGTTTAAGCGATTTATAACAAATTGTATGAGATTCAGAGAATATAGAAAATAATTGAAGGTTGGAAATTTGGGAATATGAAACATAGAAAGTAAGTTGAATTTCAATCATGTAAGGTCTCAAATATTTTTTTACCTCTCAAACACCCCTTCTCAGAAGGTACTCTAGGATGTGCTCCACCAAAAGGAGGGAATTAGCAAGATAGAGGAAGACAATGGATATAGGATACAGGCAGAGGGAGTTCCTGGGAGGTAGGGGAGGGGGAGCCTGGATGGCAAGTGTGCACCTGGTATCCAGGACCATCCACCTGGGTCGATGTACATTACAAGATGAAAGGAGAGACTTCTTTAAGAAGATGAAAATGAACAAATCCTGATGTGTTTGAACATTTTAAGAAAAAATGTTGGAGGAGAGTTTGGGGTTAAATTAGCGACAATACATGGACAAACAGTGCATTTGACAAAACAAACAAAAACAAACTCCTTGGAAACAAAAGTGTGAGCCACAAAGAAGAGTTATAGTATTATATGACAGAACTTAGCTATAGATAACATTTATATGCCTAATATAAACAGTAAGTATTAATCTAACCTAAATTATTATATAATGAGATTGAGTGGATGAAGAGATGAGAAGAGGAGATGCATGTGATGAGGAGGATGGTGAAAGAAAGCTGCATCCTTATATTCCAAAGTGAGAAGTCGTAAAATGCCTACACTTGAAAAATCAGATTAGCAATATAAGCAAATGTAGCATACTAAGAGTTGTGGAAGTAAACACCAAAAACATTTATCAATGAATTAATCAAACAAACAAAACAAAATAGCTAAAAACGTTGAATATGGTTGTTGCCTTTGGAGTAGGGAGAAAGGTGTGGGGCAGGGAGGGGGGGAGGCAGTGCGTGCAGGGAGGCAGGAGGGACTACTATTTCATAACAAGCTAAATTGGATTCTTTAAACTATGTGCATGTATAACTTTAAAACAAACAGAAAAGAAATCAAATTAAGTAACTATATAAAAAATCAGTTAAGAGGTAACCTAATAATATCAAATGTAGGGAACTTTGTCAGTTCTCAGGGTGATAGCTAACGAACTGCTTGTTGTATTTGTGAAGTCAAGATTCTGATTAACACTGTGTTTTGGTTAAGGGTTGTTTGATGGGCGTTTCTACACAGCTGAGGCGTTTCCTTTCCTGAAGCTGTGTGGGACTAACAACCTACATGCATCAGTTTGTTATGGTTTATGGAGTAAGGCCTTCGTGCATTGCCCTGGCTCATCTTCTGCGTTCCTGATGACTCTGGGGGTCTCTGGCAGAGGTGTGAAGGAAAGGGCACTGGCTTTGTAGACACACAGACTTAAGGTCAAACTCCAGCTCAATTACATGCTACTTGTGTGACCTCAGAAAATTTACCTAACCTCTCTCAACCATAAGTTCCTCATCTGTAAAATGGAGTTATGTGGTACCCACCTCATAGCAGTATTAAGTGATTAAATGAAATTATGTTTATAAAGCACTCGACAGATGCTTAGAAAATATCGATTTCCTCCCCCTCTGAGGCAGTAATCCCCTCACATGTTCAGAGCAGTAATCATTTGAATCATATTATTATGGTGTCAATTCATCTGTAATATAATCAGGTAGAGAATTAAGATGTATATTTTAAATATATGCTTGTTTTACCTTTTACATGATGTAAAACGACTACTTCTCTCATCCTAAATGGATATGCTTTAAAAAGAATTGATTTACTCAAGTTAGATGGCTATTTTGATGTCTTGTAGACACGACCTGAGTGTTTATGTAGCATATATGGCATACTACCGTGAGGAGATTTCAGAAATGCTCAAGGCTTGTAGGTGGTGGAATAGTCAAAACATGCCCCATCCAGCCTGTCTCTCAAATTGCTACATAACCCCTGAGACCTTGTGATTCATGGTTTATAAACAACTATTCATAGATACAGGTATTTCCCCTAAGGTATTATTTATTTGAGGCTGCTAAAGAGCAATTTTGTTTTTCTTTGCTAAGTATTAACACTAGCACCTGGCTCACAAAGGGTGAGGGGTAGGAGGGTGGAGAAGAATCCACTTAGGAAGAGAGGTGAAGAGGCCCCTTGCAGAGAGAGGATAGCAAAAACAAGCTAGCCTTTGAAGAAAAGTCTTCCTAGGTAACAAGGACCCTGAGGTCTCATGGTCCTCCATAGTCCGGTTGCCAAGAATAAACGATCCTGGTTGAAGAGAAATTTACCATTTTACTCAGTTTTGTGATTCTGCCTGAAATGGATTTCCAGATAAAAGATTAAAAAAAAAAACCTCCATGTTGCTGCCTCTTGAATCTGCTCCGATATTATTGTAACAGTTCAGTGCCTATTTTCACATTGAAATTCTTTCATTCAATAAAAATATTTTCATTTTACATATTTTTACTAATGCAGCCAGTAACCACTTTTTATTTTTCCAGAATCAGCTCACAATAAAATAGATTGCTCACTTTTGATGTAGGTCAGGGGTTGGCAAACTTTGGAGACTGAAGAGCCGCCAGGGGTCAGCAAACTGTGGCTCGCAAGCCACATGGGGCTCTTTGGGTATGTACTTGGGGCTCTGAAGTAAAATTGCAAATGAAAATAAAACTATCATAGTTTCATTTATAAAATTTTTAAAGGATATTATTGACAATGGTGATTATGTAAAAATATATTTATGGCTCTCAAATAATTTTTAAATTGTTGTAAGGGACAGGATTGGCTCTTCCAGGGGTTGGCAAACTTTTGAGACGGAATGTACCCAAAGAGCCGCACATGGCTCGTGACCCGCAGTTTGCTGACCCCCGATCTAGGTGAAAGAGTATTGAGATTCTACTTTGTATTATTCCATTTTTTAACCTAAAACAGGAATAAACATTTTTTCAATCAGCTATCCCAAGACCTCACAAGACCTGCTTACCTATGAATTGATATTGAACTCAGAACCCATTTTGTTTGATTGTCTTTACCTCTCTGCTAATGAAATTAGTGATAATAATAGTTATACTTGTTCTTTGAGTTTTTCTATGTAGTCCAAGTGTTCATGATTACTGAGCACATATAACTGTTAATACTCTTTTCATGGCTTATGTAAATGTTACACTAGATGCCAAATATAGAAAAAATGATACAGAAGGCAAAACTACTCTGATCATGATAATTCATGGGATAGAAATGATCTAGTGGTTTTTCACAGTTAAGGCCACGAGACCCGACTGCCTTCCGTTTACCTGCCCTTCCCTTTTTGGGAAAAATTCGGCCTCAACTGAGATTCCATGGTTACAGTAGTGTCCCATTCACCATAGTCAATAAGACGATGTTGATACTGAGACTTCTAGGAATGAGCCTTCTTAGCATTGTGAGACCACACTATCCGATGAAAAGGCTGGTCATGAATGCATCCTTCAGATTGATTTATGACCAAAAGGGATAACTGGGGATGAAAAAAGGGGTTCTATGGAAAGTAACCTCACAGGGTGATCTGATCATAAATTCCTAACTGGGCAAGTCATAGTGGGTAGTCACACGCCAGGCATATGACTTTTTAGTAAACGGTTGATCTTCATCTTAAGCCAGCCCTGTCCATTGTTTCTGTACATCTATGTTAATAACACACCTTTGAAATAAGCTGTAACCACCCTCAAGGGAGCACATCATCTTGTTAGCTATCCTGTAATCCAGTCCCTGCTTTGCTTTCTCCCACCTTGATATACTTCCTTCCTTAATTTCAGACGCATAAAAGAAGCTATAAAACTGTTATTCTTGGAAGCATTTGAGATTTTGCTCCCCGGCATATGTCATCAGTTTGGCTTAAATAAACTCTTATAAAAATTAAAAAAAATTTCATTTATTCACCGATTGAATTCATCAGTTTCTGAATTGAGCACCTGCTGCACTCTGGGGTTACCAGATGACTGTGACAGAGTAGCTGGCCTGGAGGAGCTCATTTTCTGTGTAGGGATGATGGTGGAGGGAAAGGAACCTAGATGTGGAAATAGACAGAGACAATAAGAATGACAATAAAAGTATGTACAAAGGTTAAGATAGCACAAAAACTAGTAAGTCCAAGCCTGGAGCTTTCCGGAAAGGCTTCCACAGATGAGGTGGTTTTGACTTGGTCTCGAAAGCCTGGTAAAAGTCTGCCAATCAGGCAGAGGGGACATTGAGGACAATCAAGAAGGACAGCAAAGGAACCGCGTATGCAGTATGTTTAGGCGACCACATGAGACTTTATGGCTAGGGTGGGAAGCACATATGAGAAGGTGGTGAGAGGTGAGAAAAAAGAGGTGGGATATCCTCTAGATAAGTAACAGGAGTGACAGGCTCTGAGACGTGTGAAAAACATTGCCGACAGTGAGGATGGGCTGGAATGAGGTGAGAGACTAGTCAGGAGTAGTCCAGGTGTGAAACAGGGATGTCCTGATGTATGACAATAAGCATGTCAAGGAGGGGATATGTGATTCGAAATCACTTTAAAATGTAAAGTACTATGTAAAATCATAAAAAGATATTTATTATTGCTATTATTATCTCTCCTAACTTGGAGTTTGTGTGACAACCCCTCTCCAGTTTAATAAATATTTTCTGTGGCCAATCTAGTGCACAGTGCCATCCACAGTAGGTATGTGCTGCCATCAGTCTTCTCATGACTTCCCAGAATTTGTTATGAAGGCTATTTGCGGAACCAGCTCATTTTAGTCTCTTTAAACATCATAAAATAAACTGAGATCGCCCATTTGGTTTTCTTTAAGTATCCTGCAGGAGATGATTAACTTTGCCTCTAGCACAAAAGATACTGTCAATATAACTTCTGTAGAATTGGTAAAATGGTAAAATTTAAGGATGTGGCTAAAGAGGCCTGTGATTTTATGGGGTTTTCACTTAGATGAATGACTCGATGGCTTTGCCACAGCATTTTCAGCATTCCAGGCTTGTGATAAAATAGAATCAAGTTCAAGTTACTTTTAACCTTCATTTTAAGGAACCAAGTGGCACTTATGATTAGATATGTAAACGTTTGTAAATAGACATGTTTGGATTTGACAATGATTTAACTAAATACCTATGCTAAATCCATCAATGACACAGCTGAGGAAATAATTTCTGGAAGAGTTTTTACTGTTTTTCAGTGTTCCTGAGGCAGGAAGCCACAGGAAATAATGTATTGTGGTACATATTTCCCTGCAGTATTTGGTGTGTCATTCATTGTGCAAAATTTTGCTTTCCAACTGCCTGTAGTTCACATTTTTGTACTTACTTTTCCATCCAGGATAATTTGATGAAGTCAGTTCCTCAGAGATAGAAAAAATATTTTTAATTTTTTTAAGGTCAGATTTGTTTGTTTGTTTTCCCCAATTGCGAGATAAACGATTAAACAGGAAAGATTTAAGTAGCCAGAATTAATTATTTTGACATATGAAATAACCATGATTGCAATATGAAGATCATTAGGTAATTTTAATAATCTAATAAAATATGTGTTTTTGGTTAAATTAAAATAATGTCTGTCAAAACTGGAGCAGTTTAGGGCCGGCCGAGTGGCGCGATGGTTAAGAACTCGCTTGGGATGCCAGAGGGCCCCGGTTCGGATCCCACATATGAGGGCCAGTGACACTGCCCTCTACAGCTAAGATGCTGAACAACGGCTCAACCTGGAGCTGGGCTGCTGTGAGTCGCCGGCGACGGCGTGGGCTGCAGTCCCTGTGGCAGTGGGTTGCCATGGGCTACCGTGTGTAGCCAGCAGCCAGCGTGAGCGGCCAGCAGCCAGCGTGAGCGGCCAGCAGCCGCAGTGAGCGGCCGTCCAGAAGCCGGCGACTGATCTGCCTCACCCGGGAAGAGCGCAATGATGGTGCCAACTTGGGCCAGTGAAGCAACGTCCTCCACAACTAGACTGAAGAACAAAACGACAGCAACTTGTCTGTCCCCCTTCCCCCAATTCCCCAGCACTGTTCCCATCCCCCCAATTCACCAATAAAAAAAATCTTTTTTTAAAAAAAAAAAACTGGAGCAGTTTAAGATGTAGTACGTTAGAACCTGGAATATGAAAATGAAAACCACCCGTTTTTCTGAGAAAACCTCACTATTATTTTGTTAGGTTTGGTTTTTACTTTGTCTGTGGTACAGCATTTCTTTCTTTTTCACTTCTCTGCACCCTTTATTGGAGAGTGAAATATTTTCTCCACTCTTAAATGGGAAAGTGGTAGAATAGAATGCTTTTCAGTCAGGACTAATATTCTCATTTTATGCAACTGTTTTTTCAAACACTGATATCAGGGCTTTTCAACTCTGCCTTTGCCTTAGACAGCGGTTCTCAACCTTCCTAATGCCATGACCCCTTAATACAGTTCCTCATGTTGTGGTGACCCCCAACCATAAAATTATTTTCATTGCTACTCTATAACTGTAATTTTGCTACTGTTATGAATTGTAATGTAAATATTTTTTTGTTTTCTGATGGTCTTAGGTGACCCCAGTGAAAGGGTCATTTGACACAAAGGGGTTGCGACCCACAAGTTGAGAACCGCTGCCTTAGAAGAA